TTTCTAAATTCACATTATAGTACAACTTCCTTTAACAGTATTACTCAATGGCTATTTTGGAGTGTAACATTTGGTGATAATTACTCAATTCATATCGTAGCTTAACACCCTTTCATAGTATTACTCAATGGGAATTTTAAAGTGCCAAATTTGGTGGTAATTGCTCAAATCACGTGTTGGCATCACATCCTTACAATTACATAACAAATATCGTTGTATCACACCTCATAATAAAAATGCTCAATACAAATTTCAAGTCTAAAGTTCGGTCGTAATTCACAATAATATACTCTTTTCCATCCCGTGTAAAACGTGAAATCGAACGTGAAAACAAACAACAGTTGTTGCATTAGTAGTAGCGTCAAATCATCACGTGACATATGACAAAAATGTTTATCAAAAGTATACACAACTTATAACTCTACAAAAATTCTACGTATGTCTGAAGGAATAGTTTTGAAAAGCTAAGTTCCCTTCAGTCTCACTTTAAGCGCAGATGACTCGTCCAGTGATCAGATTTCAATATAGCGCCCTTTAGAGTTTATTTAATTTGTGTGTTCGTTTTACACTAGTCATATGACTACAGGTCAAATGCCAGAGGTCACTAGCAGTCGACAAGCATACACTTGATAGTTTAGAATGTAATAGCGTGGAAGTGACTGGGTTGAGTCTTAAACGAACCGATCGTGGCAATATTTTGTGCACACTTTAGCATCTTCGAGTTCAGTGATGTTTTTTTCTTTTGAAAATTGAACAAAAACGGCTATGATAATATCATGATTATTATGTCGTTTCACCAATAGGACGTTTCACCTTCAAGTTCGCCGTCATTTATTTGCAATAGCACATAATACGCGTACATTCTGCTTTCCATGCGTGTTTCGATGTCTACTTCGCAAGTTGACGTGTTGTTACTGGAACCTTTCTATGGCGGTTCACATAAACAGCTGATCGATCTGTTACATGCTGAGGTTGGAGGTACTTCTATATGGACACTTCCGGCTAAAAAATGGCACTGGAAAGCCAGGACATCGGCATTGTATTTTGCTGAGATAATTCCTAACACATGTAACAAGTAAGTCTTAAATCAGCATATCAATATTTCCAACAAAAAAATTAAGATTTGGACTGTAATTTATAAACGTTTATATCAGAACGCCCTCTTGTGTCAAATTTTTTATGCATATTTGACAGTGAAAATAGAATATTCACATATTAAAATTAATTGTAGACAGATTTTGTGACAAAATAGTTTAATAGTTAGTTTAATAGTTCAATAGTTAATATCTATTCTCATATGTCACAACACATAGTAGCATATTCCACCTCAAGATTGTTTTTGAATCATCAAAACTATAATGTCTTAGGGCTTGTTGGTGAGTTGTTCTACCTATTAAATACAGTCAAAAAAATATCATGTTTATTTGTTTCAAAAGTCTTACATAATTGTTGATTTGTACCTAGTACAAAATATTTTGTTGGAAAAAAACAGTCTGAAAAAGTGCAAAAATTTTGGAATTGTTTCCGTAGGAATTCATATAAATACATTTTTTCATAAAAAATATTCGTTAGAATGTCCTAAAAAATTGTGACAGCCATAACAATCGTATAACAACCTAATTATATTTTCACTATATGTACCCAAACGAAATTTTGATATATTATGTAACCTTATCACCATAGGAACCAATGTCAAATGAGTCAAAAATCTCATTTTCATGGGTGTTTGACACATCTTTTGTGTGAAAACTAGTTGACTATGACAATAGCGAAAAACAAAACATATGGTAAAAGTCAAAGAAATCTGGCAAACATTTTTTAGTGAAATAAATATTTAACATGTATCGATATATTTATATTTACAATATGTATTCATTATTTATATTTTTAAAAATGAGTTAAGTGTGTTCCGGGCCTCGAAATTTAGATTAGGTCATCCATTTTGAAGGCCAAAATTGATAAAATTGTCTTGTCATGGTACTGTTTATTTTCATTCATAGAACATTATTTGCAAGCTCAGTACTGAACTTAGCAGAGCTTGTGGCTTTAAGACCAGATCTGTCAAGACTCAAGAAAGTCCTCTACTTTCATGAAAACCAGTTGATATATCCTGTGAGAAAACAACAAGAAAGAGATTTCCAGTATGGGTACAACCAGATTTTATCTTGGTCAGTAATTTTTTTTTTCCAAACTCATTTTCCAGGAGAGGATTATTTTGAATATTAGGACAGGGCTGGAAGATATCATATGAAATCACCAAACAGATAATAACAAACTTTCGCACTTATAGCACTTTTAAATCTTTTATTAAATTTGAACAATATTTAGAAAACACCAAAAACAGGAAATTTAGAAATGTTTTAACCAAATTCAGGATTTCAGCCAATCAGCTACCAGTAGAAAAAGGTCGACATAGAGGCATTAAAAGAGAAGACAGATTCTGTCATCTGTGTAACTGTAATGAAGTTGGTGATGAAAAACATTACCTTTTCAGATGTAATCATGACAAAATTAGGGAATTAAGAAATTCATTATTTACAGCATTCTATGTTTATGCCCCTAGTCTACAACTATTAGCTGGAGAGGATATTTTTGTTTCGATTTTTTCAAGTTCTGATCTTTTTATTTGTAGTAGTCTAGCAAAATTTGTTTTTCATGTTTTAGAATTGTTTTAGTTTATTTTGTTTGTGTTATTTTGGACTTTACACTAGCTCTGTATTGTGTACGTGCCAAATAAAATATCCTATCCTATGAAAAATGTTGTGGAGATCAAACAAATGCAAAACTGAAATTTGTCTTGTTATGCAGATGTATAAATAAATAAAATGACAATTCCCCCCCCCCCCACAGTTTTCAAGTAGGTAGCCCTGCATCATGTGGTTTGTCATATGTAAACTGCATATGACTATTATAGCCATCACTCCGCTTTCGTTCATATACATTATAGTCTAAGTGATGTTATTTCACATTTACAGGAAGCTTGTATGAATTCCAACATTTGGTGTCAAACTAGGTAGTGTACCAGGCTATTTGAAGCATCAAATATAATGTTTTTGTCATCATTTATAGGACTTTGCATTGTTTACTAACACCTGTGTATGTTTATTGTTTAAAGTTTAGTTGCAGATTTAGTATTATTCAACTCTCTTTACAACATGGAATCCTTTTTGTCATCTATTGATTCATTTCTGAAACTTATACCAGATCATCGTCCACACGGGATATCATCTAAAATTCAACCCAAATGCCAAGTGTTATATTTTCCCATTAATTTCCCGGTCATCACGTCGAGAGCCTCATCTCTGGATGAAACAAGGCCATTGCACATTCTATGGGCTCACAGGTGGTAAGTAATCTATATTTTTGCTTTTATTGTCTTCTTGGAATCTACCTGAATTCATTAGTGTTTGGTGGTCCCTAGCATCGTTACCTCAATTAATACACAAGTTGGCCGGGTGACACATGATCTCATTAATGTGCACATAAATTATTCTAAGACTACTAACTCTTACAGATTTTTTTAACAACCAGAGTCAAATCCCTAATACAATATAGCATCATTTTTAAAATCCATTTGCTCCCTGCTCTGCATGCTTAGTACCTCAATGTTGTATTGTCAGCAAAACAAAATTTTTTCCACAACCAAAAAAGTTGGATTATGAATATTGCGATTATTACTTGAAAAGTCAAACAATTTAAAATGAATTATGCAAACAATATTTTTTTTAAATCATTAATTACTTCAAATTAACTGTAGCTCATGTCACATGTCAACAACTACCTTATAACAACTTAATTGTCTTTTCTGTTGTTCCTGTAGTGGAGCTATTTGAACCATATGGGCTATCATTTTATATTTGCCATATTTTCCTCTTCCTCTTCCTCTTTTGTTCACATTACCTTGTAGTGTGTTATTAATTCTGCTTACATATTACATAGTGATTAATGTTTTCACGGCAAGCCTCCATAGTCAGCACAGCTCCTTAGTCACTCAGCAGTGCCCATTTGCCATGCACCATTACTTGGTGCTATTATGTTTAGAGAACAGAATGGCTGTCAGCCCTGTGTGCTGTAATCATCCGTGTGCTTATAAAATCTGAGTATCCAGGTCACTTGAGTCAGTAGCTACCATAAAATGATTAGAACTTTCTCATCTATGGAAACCTGACCTTTATATGTGTATCTGACCTGCATGGATTTAACTAGCAAGCATGTTGCTGAAGTAAAATTTACAGTATCTAAGTATACAGTGAATAGTAGTCCGTGTTGTTAATTTCTTGTTTTAATGCAGGGAACATGACAAGGGTCCAGACATCTTTTTTGAGGCAATCTATAAACTTGTGGAATGTGGAGTTAAGTTTCATCTTTCAGTTTTGGGAGAATCGTTTTCAGACATACCGGGTAAGTGTGACATAATTTCTTAACCTCTTGAAACATTATATTTTGAGTTGGAGAAATAAACCACTGTTACCAACCTGTTACCTTGCCACAACCTGTGAACTAATCACTATAAAACAACAACGACCTATTACACAATCACCTGTACCACTGAAAACCAACCACCACTTTTAAATCTATCACTATAAACCAGCCATTACCTGAACCAACCACTACCTTGTTTGTATAGTATTGTATTCCTGTTTCCTGTCCAGTTACACTGACGAAGAGTTGCACTCGAAAAATTTGTCCTTTCTAACTCCTGCAGTATTTTACCATTTTCCCGCTGGTCCGTCTTATTTTGTTCACTACCTGTACCACTGTAAACCAACCACCACCTTTAAACCTATCACATATAAACCAACCACAACCAGTACCACTCTAAACCAACCACAACCAGTACCACTCTAACCTAAACATGACCTGATGCACAACTGCTTACTATATCAGTCATAATCATATGCAAAATAGAAGTAATTTATTTAAAAAAGTAACTTCTCTCTCATTTCTGTTTTATTTTTATTCTCAGACGTATTCATAGAAGCTAAAGAAAAACTGAATGATTATATTATAAATTGGGGGTACCAGGAAAGTAAGCAAGACTTTTTCTCAATTCTACAAATCGCTGACGTTGCTGTGTCCACTGCAAATCATGAATTCTACGGAGTTTCGATGTAAGTGGTTTAATATTCCTTTATTAGGTTAGGAAATCCTATCGGGTTTCCATGCAGTATCTAAATAATCATGTAATCATGTCATGTTCAATCATGAATTCTATAGCATTTTTATTCGAGTGTTTTAATAATCATATACTGAATGCATCCTATGAGTCTGTGCAATATTTTAAAAACAAAATCATGTAATTTTGATATTTTCGATCAAGAATTGTAATCTATAGGATTTCTATGAGAGTGTTTTAATAATCCTGCACTAAATGCATGGGGTGGGACCCAATATGCAATGTAATTATGTATGAGTGAGTTCAATAATCTTGTATTACATTTCTATGCATTAAGCATACTTGTTTGGATATACTGACCTTTTAGTGTTATTGTAACTGCATGAAGGGAATTTGGACTCACTTTTATATTTTTATTTTTGGAAATACTTTTTTTATATGCTTTGATTCTTTTTTAGGTTAGAAGCTGTTCATTTCAAGTGCTTCCCTCTGTGTCCAAATAAACTAGTTTATCCGGAAATATTCCCAGGTATTTAGAAATTACGTTAAAAACATTTGTACTTTGGGTATTATGTCCTAATGTGTATGTCTATT